AATTAATTCTGTGAGAGAACGAAATGGCTAGGAGTATAAATGAAATAAGATGACTATTTGTTGGTAATTTTTGAAGTTGATTGTATGTGGTGATTTGTAAAATAATTCTCTCGTGTTTGAAATTTTTCATTATGAAATTTTCCATTAAATAAGTATTCTAGACCAGGCTCAATGACTCATGCTTGTAATCCCAGCACTTTGGGAAGCTGAGGCAGGCGGATCACCTGAGGTCAGGAGTTTGAGACCAGCCTGGCCAACATGGGAAACCCCATCTCTACTAAAAACACAAACATTAACTGGGCATGGTGGTGCACACATGTAGTCCCAAGTACTTGGCAGGCTGAGGCAGGAGAATCACTGGAACCCAGGAGGTGGAGATTGCAGTGAACCGAGATTGCACCACTGCACTCCAGCCTGGGTGACAGAGCAATACTAAGTCTCAAAACAAAACAAAAAACGGATTCTAAAGTAATTTTTTTTTTTTTTTTTTAATACTCTGTCTGTCTCCCAGGCTAGAATACAGTGGCGCAATCTCGGCTCACTGCAACCTCAGCCTCCCAAGTAGCTGGGACTACAGACGCAGGCCACTATACCTGGCTAATTTCTGTATTTTTAGTAGAGACAGGGTTTCGCCACGTTAGCCAGGGTGGTCTTGAACTCCTGACCTCAGGTGATCCACCTGCCTTAGCCTTTCAAATTGTTGGGATTACTGGTGTGAGCCACTGCACCCGGCCTAAAGTGGTTTATATCCTCAGCAAATTTGGAAACAAACTCAGCAAATATTATTTGAGTTTCTGGTATGTGCTACCACAAAACTAGACACTAAATATCAAATACTAGGTTAGGCAAAGCTCCTCACTTTATGGAATTTAACCACATGAGCTGCAAATAACATAATTTCATATAGTGACAACTGCTCTGACAAAGTAAACTGGAACGATCAAGTGCAGTGTAACTGGGATGGTAGCCTGGGTACAAGGTGCTATATTAAGTAGAGTGCTGAAAGAAACCATCTCTGAGGGGGTGACATTTGAGTAGTGACCTGAATGATGAGAAGGGGCCAGTCATGATAATATCTGGGGATGAGTATTCCAGGTGGACGAAACAGCAAGTGTAATGGCAAGTGTGAGCTTAAAAGTTACAGAAGTAAGCATGAAAGCCAGTGTGGCTGGACATAGTGATTGAGAGGGAGAGTACAGGAAATGAAGTCTGAGATACAGGTAGAAGCCAAATTATGTGGGGCTTTGTAGGATATAGAAAAGAATTTTGAATTTATTCCATGCTCATTAAAGCTAGTGGAGGATTTTAGATAATGGAGTGTTATGATCTGATTTTCATTTTCGAAGGCCATTCTAATTGTTTCTCGGAGAACCAAAGGATGTTAAGAGTGGAAGCGAGGATACTAACTGGTTAATAGACTAAAGACAAAGTGAGATGAAGGTGCCTTGGACTTGTGGAATTCGTGGAAGGGATCAGGTGTAGGATAAATTTTGAAGGTAAAAGAAAAATGTAGGTATAAAACATCCCAGGATAATAGCACATGAAACAGTTTAAAGAGATTAATTTGGAATTTGAGACCAGGCTAGGCAAAATAGTGAGACCCTGTCTCTATAAAAAAATATTTTAACTTAGCTGGGTGTGGTGGTATGTGCCTATAGTAGTTCCATCTACTCAGGAGGCTGAAACAGGAGGCTGAAACAGGAGGGTTTGAGGCCAGAAGTTTGAGGTTGCAGTGATCTATGATAAGTGCCATTGTACTCCGGCTTAAATAACAGAGTGAGACTCCATTTCTAAAAAAAAAAAAGGTGAACTGGTGAGGTGGCATGGGGCGGGCAGTAGATTACTTTTTAGAGATTATAAGCCTTGTGATATTTGACATTTTAAATCATTGTGATTACAATCATGGTTAAAACAGTAAACATGTCCCTTCAGAAAACTACAGAGAAACATCTCCTTTTAGTATAGTATATGTTTTAATTATAAGATTCAATTAAGCACTCATTGTATGTGCCACAGTATACAGAAAAGCTCTTTTGTATATGTTAGATTGAGTTCCTACAGGGTAAGGATCATAGTAATTTCCATATTTTTAGAATTTGCTGGGCTTGGTGGCTCATGCCTGTAATCTTAGCACTTTAGGAAGCCAAAGTGAACCAATTGCTTGAGCTAAGATATTTGAGACCAGCCTGGGTAACATGGCAAAACCCTGTCTCTACCAAGATTACGAAAATTAGCCCTTGGTCCCAGCTATTCCGGAGGCTAAAGTGGGAGGATTGCTGGAGCCTGGGAAGTTGAATCTGTAGTGAGCTGTGATCACGCCACTGCACTCCAGCCTGGGTGACAGAGAGAGACTGTTTTTTTTTTTTTTTTTTTTTTTTTGAAACAGAGTCTTGCTCTGTCATCCAGGCTGGAGTGCAGTGGTGCAATCTCGACTCACTGCACCCTCCGCCTCCTGGGTACAAGCGATTCTCCTGCCTCAGCCTGCCAAGTAGCTAGGATTACAGACACCTGCCACCACGCCCGACTAATTTTTGTATTTTTAGTAGGGACAGGGTTTCTCCATGTTGGCCAGGCTGGTTTCCAAATCCTGACCCCAAATGATCTGCCCGCCTCAGTCTCCCAAAGTGCTGGGATTAAAGGTGTGAGCCACCATCCCTGGCCAACTCTGTTTCAAAAAAAAAATTAATTAAAAAAAACTACAGTTTGACTCAGTGTCTGGTTCCCCATGGGGTGAGCCCCAAACTAGGTCTGCAGTTTATTTAGAATAATTATAGAAACTGAGGACAAAGAGGAGCAAACCATGGGATCTTTACTTATTCTCCTTGACTTAACTCTGTAAACTCAGACTACTTCCTAGAATAATGGGGGTTTTCAGATTGGAATTTTTAAAAATATCCAATCTGTTGCGGTGTTTTGTTTTGTTTTTGAGATAGAGTGTTGCTCTGTCACTCAGGCTGGTTGAGTTCCTACAGGGTAAGGATCATAGTAATTTCCATATTTTTAGAATTTGCTGGGCTTGGTGGCTCATGCCTGTAATCTTAGCACTTTAGGAAGCCAAAGTGAACCAATTGCTTGAGCTAAGATATTTGAGACCAGCCTGGGTAACATGGCAAAACCCTGTCTCTACCAAGATTACGAAAATTAGCCCTTGGTCCCAGCTATTCCAGAGGCTAAAGTGGGAGGATTGCTGGAGCCTGGGAAGTTGAATCTGTAGTGAGCTGTGATCACGCCACTGCACTCCAGCCTGGGTGACAGAGAGAGACTGTTTTTTTTTTTTTTTTTTTTTTTTTTTAACTTTAGAAACAGATCTGAGTTAATGGATAGAATGAAGTTAATTGCTTTTTCAGAGCAATTAATTAACTGATCCCACCACATAACTAGATGTAAATCTAACCTTTGTTCAGCATCGATTTGGGTTGTTGATTTGGAATAAATACTTTCTCCAGTGTTATCTATGGTGGTTTTGGTGCTTCTCTGGGATCCTTCTTGCACATTTGGTCTGATTCGTGCTCTGGTTCCCACTGCTGAGTATTCACAGATGAAACCCAACTCTGGGGCTTCCAGTCCCCCTTAGATGTCTTGTTGGATCAGTGTTTCTGATGTTGAAGCAGTCTGTGAAAGATAAATTTATTTGCCTTGCAGCTTAATTGGTTATTGATTACCTTTTCCCAGCAGTGAGTAGTGGTATGTAGTATTTATAGAGACTTTCTTTTAAAATGATCCATATTTTTCTTTAGAAGCTGTGCTTTGGACATACCTAATAATACTTGGCATATTAGAAGCATTTTAAATTTTTTATTTAATCTTTTGTTGAGATTTGGCATTTTTATTTATTTCTTTTTCTTCCCCCTAAAGAGCGTAGACATTTATTTATTTATTTTGACTTATAAACAACAGAAATTTATTTCTCATTGTTCTGAGGGCTGGAAACTCCAAGATTGAGACACCAGCAGATGTAATGTCTTGTAAGGGCCCATTTCCTGGTTCATAGTTGATGCCTCTTCGTTGTGTCCTCACATGGTGAAAGGAGCTATCTAGCGCTTGGTGTTATTTTATTAAGGACCCTTGTAATCTTTAATGTTTTGGATTTGTTCTTTTTCAGTTTTGGTTTTCGCTTCCTAGGTTAGACACCAAGACAGATATTTTTAAATCCTTGAGGCCAGGTGCAGTGGCTCACGCCTGTAATCCCAGCACTTGGGGAGGTCAAGGCAGGCAGATCACCTGAGGTCAGGAGTTTGAGACCAGCCTGTCCAACATGGTGAAACCCCATCTCTACTAAAAATACAAAAACTAGCCAGCCATGATGGCACACGCCTGTAATCCCAGCTACTCAGGAGGCTGAGGCAGGAGAATCGCCTGAACCTGGGAGGCGGAGGTTACGGTGAGCCGAGATCATGCCACTACACTCCAGCCTGGTTGACACGGTGAGACTCCGTCTCAAAAAAAATAAAAATAAAAAACTTGAAATGAACAAATAACATGTCTAAAATACTTAAATGCTCTAAAAATTTCCACTGCCATCAAGTTCAGGAGAAGTCAACAGCTTGTTTTCCAGGCTTCAGAGAAAGTTGTCTTAAATATAAGTAACACAAGTTAAAAGGTACCATGGTTTCGTTTATATGCAGCCTGTTAAAATGGAGTGTTTTCATTTTTGTTTCTTATAGAAACAGGACCTTGCTCTGATGCATAGGCTGAGTACATGGTACAATCATAGCTCACTGCAGCCTCGAATTCCTGGGCTAAGTGATTCTCTTGCTCAGCCTCCTGAGCAGCTAGGATTACAGGTGCATGGTGCCACACTCAGCTAATTAAAACAAAGTTTTTGTGAAAGTGGAGTCTCCATGTGTTCCCCAGTCTGATCTTGAACTTCTCACCTCAAACGTCTCTTGCCTTGCTCTCCCAAAACACAGATTACAGGCATGAGCCACTGCACCTGGCTAAGATGGGATGTTTATGTAGCATAACTAAGAGCTAAAAATACAAACCAGATGCTGCTTGAGTCTTAACCCTTTCTTGTAAAATTACTACATTTCAATTATATGTTAAAGGTACCTCAGTGACTAACACATTATATATCCTTCCCAGCAGCTCTTCTCTAGTTGTGAGAAAAGAACCTGATGTACCTGTGTTCTTTCGAAATGGCCAGCTGGCAGAAAGTATAAGCATGTGTTTACAGACTGGACCAACAGGGGGTGCCAGTAACAATTCTGAAACATCAGAGGAACCAAAAATTGAGCAAGTAATGCAACCCTTGCCTCATCAACCATCAGATAACCAGAAAATTTACCAGGATTTATTGGTAAGAAAATGTAGATCATTTCATCTTTTTGAGAAGGTTATTTAGTATAGGATATACTAGTTAAGCTTTTCCTAGGTTTAAACTGATGGAGACCTTAACATAAAAAGATTTTTGCCTAATTAACAATGTAGCATTTCTTTTAGCTTTTCATAAATTATAACTTAAATTCAGTAATTTACGGTAAACATACTTAAGTACTTAGAAAAACACAGCTTTATTTTTAAAGTATGAATATTGATATGCCTAATTCAAACCAAAATTAGTATTAGAAAATAAGCAAGTTTCTTGGAAATTTGAAAATTGGAAAGTAGTGGGATATTTATGATAATATTTACTGATTTTAGTTTAGGTAAGCCAATGTTTATTAAATACTTAGCTTAGTCTAAGACAGTAGGCTCAGTGAAATCGATAATATAAAGGTGAATATGACACTCTGTGCCCTTGAGAGCCTAGGGGAAACAACAGCACATGCAGACTAGTAAACAATTATAAGACAGGCTGTTGAGGAGTAGTAGTGTAAAGCAAAGAACACAGAATAAAAGGGATAATTCTGATTGGAGGAACTAGTCTTATAAAACTTAAAATGTGATCTGGGACTTAAAAGATAGAGAAACCCTGACTGTTACTTTCATCCAAATTGTAGAACATTTGATTTGTCCATTTGTGAGAAGGCTAATTAAACATACTTCACAGGGCCCTATGTATTCATCAATGAACACTTATTTGTTATTTGCTTGCTAGGTCCTAGACTGGTGCTAGCAGCTTGTATGCTCAGGGAATGAAATATGCAGAAATAGTATCACAGGTCGTTCTTACTTTTAGAAAGTGAGAAGAAAAGGAGCCTAATTCTGTGAATATCATAAAGGCCTAATTTATAACTGAAACATATTATCACTTTTCAAATGAAAGCATTATTTAAAAGTTCTTTATAAAAAATTTAGCATAAATCTTCGAAAATACTTGAAGAATTACTCAAAAGAGGTTTTTTTGTTTGTTTGTTTGTTTTTTGAGACAGGGTCTTGCTGTGTCACCCAGGCTGGAGTGCAGTGACATGATCTCAGCTCACTGTAACCTCTGCCTCCCGGGTTCAAGCGATTCTCGTGCCTTCCAGGTAGCTGGAACTAACAGACACCTGCTACCACACCTGGCTTTTTTTTTTTTTTTTCTTTTGAGACAGAGTCTCACTCTGTTGCCCAGGCTGGAGTGCAGTGACATGATCTCAGCTCACTGCAGCTTATCCCTCCCAGGTTCAAGTGATTCTCCTGCCTCGGCCTTTCAAGAGGCTGGGACCACAGGTGCACGCCACCACACCCGGCTAATTTTTGTATTTTTAGCAGAGACAGGGTTTCACTATGTTGGTCAGGCTGGTCTTGAACTCCTGGCCCGCCTTGGCCTCCCAAAGTGCTGGGATTACAGGTTTGAGCCATGCGCCTGTACTCAAATGATTTTTAAATATGATGGTTTTTATTTTTATTTATTTATTTTCTTTTTTTTTTTTTTTTTTTTTTTTTTTAAACAGAGTCTGTCTGTCACCCAGGCTGGAGTACAGTGGCAGTGGCGCCATCTCAGCTCTCTGCAACCTGGGCCTTCTGAGTTCAAGTGATTCCCATGCCTCAGCCTCCCGAATAGCTGGGACCGCAGGCACATGCCACCACACCTGGCTAATTTTTGTATTTTTGTTAGAGACAGGGTTTCACCATGTTGGCTAGGCTGGTCTTGAACTCCTGACCTAAAGTGATCTGCCCACCTTGGCCTCCCAAAGGACCGGGATTACAGGTGTGAGCCACCGTGCCCAGCCTATGTTGGTTTTTGAGTGAATGAAGTCTGAACAAACATTCTGTTTTCTCTAGGGTCTGATGAAATTGTTCATTAGGATGTGCTTCTATAAAAACTCCATAATACCTGCAAATAATACATAATACCTGCCTACTTGATACTTTGTGGAATTTGACAAGATACTGATTTTCCCTGGCCTTATTGTATCATTACGGTCTTATTGTAAAATTGTTTTTTAACTTTTTTTAAATTTTTCTTTTTTTTGGAGACAGAGTCTTACTTTGTCACGCAGCATATAGTGGCACAATCATGGCTAACTGCAGCCTCAGCCTTGTGACTCAAGTGGTCCTCCTACTTCAACCTCCTTAGTAGCTGGAACTACAGGTGTGTGCCAGCATGCCCAGCTAATTTTTAGTTTTTTGTAGAGACAGGATCTCACTGTGTTGCCCAGGGTCTTGAACTCCTGGGCTCAAGCGATCCTCCTGCCTCGGCTTCCCAAAGTGCTGGGATTATAGGCGTGAACTACCACACCCAGCCCTAACATTGTTAATAGTGATTTTTCAAAAAATATTTTTTTTTCTTTTTGTCAGGGTCAAGTAAACCACCTATTGAGTAGTTCCTCCAAGGAAACTGAGCAGCCATCTACCAAAGCAGTAATTATCAGTCATGAATGCACCAGAACCCAAAACGTTTACCATACAAAGAAAAACACACATCATTCAAGACTGGTGGACAAAGATTGTGTTCTTAATGCAACTCTTAAGCAACTAAGAAGCCTTGGAGTAAAAATTGATTCTCCCCCTAAAGTGAAGAAAAATGCACATAACGTGGATCACGCCAGGTAACTTTTGCAATTTTGTTTTAAAGGGAGAATAAATTTTATTTTTAAAAAATGTTTATTTATTTTTGCCCATCATTGGCTAGATGTATTGTGGCAATCTCATCAGAAAAGTTATGTTTGTGCCTCAATTCAGTTGATTCACCATTTATTCAGGGCCTACCATATGCATGATGAATAAGAGATTCTTCATTTTTGTGGGAGAGAGGGTTACATACATAAGTAATTTGAGAGATATTATGGGATGACTCTTGGCTGGATAGGCCAACAAAATAGGAGACTTGAGGAAAGAGAAAGGAGTTTCGCTTCGTAGCATCTGAAAAGTCTTTCTGGAGGTGATAAGGTCTGTGCCAGCTACTGGATGTACAGTTACACAATCGTGCTGTCTAAAAAACAAAACCATTTCTTTTTTCTAGGAATGTGCCCAACTGGTCATGTCCTTCTGTTCAGATTCCTTTCTACCAAAGATGACCTCAGCACATAACTTATTAAAAAAAAAATAAAGTCTGGAGATTACATTATTAAGGCTAGCATATTTTCTGTTAATTATTTTTTGTTTTCTAATTTAAAAAGTAATAAAAATTGATGGTTTTAAAAAACAAACAATACAGAAGAGAGTGTAAGATAAAATGCAAAAGCCACAACTCCCCACATTCCTGCCTGACTATTCCAAAGTTACTTCTCTTAGGCCAGGCTGGTGGATCACGAGGTCAGGAGTTTGAGACTAGCCTGGCCAAGATGGTGAAACCCTGTCTCTACTAAAAATACAAAAATTAGCTGGGTGCGGTGGCAGGAGCCTGTGATCCCAGCTACTCAGGAGACTGAGGCAGGAGAATCGCCTGAACCCGGGAGGTGGAGGTTGCAGTGAGCCGAGATCGCGCCACTGTACTCTAGTCTGGACGACAGAGCAAGACTCAGTCTCAAAAAAAAAAAAAAAAAAAAAAAAAATGGCCGGGCTCGGTGGCTCACACCTGTAATCCCCAGCACTTTGGGAGGCCAAAATGGGCAGACCACGAGGTCAGGAGATCGAGACCATCCTGGCTAACACAGTGAAACCCTGTCTCTACTAAAAACACATAGCCAAGCTGGGTGCCAGGCACCTGTAGTCCCAGCTACTTGGGAGGCTGAGGCAGGAGAATGGCATGAACCCTGGAGGCGGAGCTTGCAGTGAGTCGAGACTGCGCCACTGCACCCAGCCTGGGCGACAGAGCAAGACTGTCTCACAAAAATTTTAAAAAAGTTACTTCTCTTAACCATTTCTTTTGTATTGTAGAAATGTTCCATGCATGTTCACGTATATGTGTATGTGATAAACTTTGTGATTTGATTTTTTTGTTTTAATTTTGAGACAGTCTCGCTGTGTCACCCAGACTGGAGTGCAGTGGCGTGATCACAGCTCACTTCAGCCTCAACCTCCTGGACTCAAGTGATCCTCCCATCTCAGCCTTTTGAGTAGCTGGCACTACAGGCATGCACCACTACTTGGCTAATTTTTTATTTTTTGCAGAGATGGGGTCTTGCTGTTTTGCCCAGTCTGGTCTCAAACAAACTCCTAGACTCAAGCAATCTTCCCACCTTGGCCTCCCAAAGTGCTAGGATTACAGCCGTGAGCCACTGCACCTGGTCTGTTTTTTTGTTTTTGTTTTTGTTTTTAAACATGGTATTATAATATCTTGGATACTTTTCCTTATAGGGATATACAGTTCTTTCTCATGTATTTAAACAGCTGCATAATATTCTTTTGTACCCTTGTACTAGAATATATTGAATCCCAGTGCTCTATTAATGGACCTTTAAGCCAAATCTCTTATTTGTTATTTCAAACAATCCTAAGTGAACATCATTCTACAGGTACAAGTATCTTTGTAAGATAAATTCCTGAATAGTCTTAGTAGATACTACTACCATTGCTCACCAAATAGTTGTACCAGTTTATATTCCTGCCAATAGTGTAGAAGAGCGAGGCTAGCATTTTTGGAGTTTTTTATCCATGTTGTAAGATAGAAGCTATGTATCCTAACCCTTCCCCTCTTGTCAGAACTGCGAACGAACTTGTCACGTTAGTTGCAGTTTCTTACTATTTTAAATGTTGCTATGATGATCTTTTGCAAATATTGCTTTTCAGTTTTAGAATAGAATCTTGGAAATGGAAAGACTAAGGTAAAATGATACAAAAATTTTAAAGCCGTTGCTAAGTTGCTTTCTGAAAGAGTAAGTATTATTACCAGCTACATGTATACATGTGTGCCAGCTACCATTTCACCAATACATTAACTTCAACAAATGCATACTGAGTTTCTACTGTGAGCCAGCTTATAAGAGATATCATAATACACAAAATAACCTGGTAAAGAAAGACATCTTTGTTCCCATAGAGTTTACAGTTCAGTGGGGAAGACACAGATAGTCAATATCTTTTATACCTGCTGTGAAATGGAAGGATAGAGAATGCCATGGAATCACATAGGAGAGGTAGCTAACTTTAAGAGTATTTTCATACTGTGTTGTAATTACATCAAAATGGTCCCTTTTAAAGATCTGTACTAATTAAGACCAAAAATACCTTAAAGTTTTAAAAGTTATATTTTATTATTGATGCAATTTCTGTATATTTAAATTTTTTTTTTTAGTTTTTAAAAATAGGATCTTGCTCTGTCACCCAGGCCTGTCACCCTGGAATACAATGGAATACAATGGTACAATCATAATTTAGGTAACCTCAAACTCCTGGGCTCAAGCCAATCCTCCTGCCTCAGCTTTTTGAGTAACTGGGACCAGAGGCATGTGCCATCATCTCTATGTCATTTTGATTAAATATGAAACTGTACTGCAATAGTTTCTCCAACATAAGAGTCAAATTTTGTTTCCCAGTTATCTTAGGCTTACGTCTGGAATGTCCTCCCAGCCTATCTGAGGCCTACCTGATTAATTCACATTGTTTCAGTTTGACTTAAACTTAGTTTTTGAGTATAATGGCCTACCACTCTCTACCAAGTTCCAGCCTACTTGCCATTGGCACTTGCAAGACTCCTTGATGTTACTTTTATCTGAGATGCTCTTTTTTACCTTTCTCCTTGCCAAAATCCTTCTTATCCTTCAAAGCTGAACTCAGATGTCACCTCTTTGGACCTCTCAGAGTGTATTGATGTTTTGTACTCTTTTTTTTTTTTTTTTGAGATGGAGTTTCTTTTGTATTGCCCAGGCTGGAGTACAATGGCGTGATCTCGGCTCACCACAACCTTCGCCTCCCGGGTTCAAGCGATTCTTCTGCCTCAGCCTTCCTGAGTAGCTGGGATTACAGGCATGCGCCACCATGTCTGGCTAATTTTGTACTTTTAGTCGAGACAGGGTTTCTCCATGTTGGTCAGGCTGGTCTTGAACTCCCAACCTCAGATGATCCACCTGCCTCGGCCTCCGAAAGTGCTGGGATTACGTGTGTGAGCCACTGTGCCTGGCCGATGTTTTGTACTCTTTTTTTTTTTTTTTTTGAGACGGAGTCTCGCTGTGTCTCCCAGGCTGGAGTGCAGTGGCATGATCTCGGCTCACTGCAAGCTCCGCCTCCCGGGTTCACGCCATTCTCCCGCCTCAGCCTCCCAAGTAGCTGAGACTACAGGCGCCCGCCACCACGCCCGGCTAGTTTTTTGTATTTTTAGTAGAGACGGGGTTTCAGGATAGTCTCGATCTCCTGACCTCGTGATCCACCCGCCTCGGCCTCCCAAAGTGCTGGGATTACAGGCTTGAGCCACCGCGCCCGGCCTGTTTTGTACTCTTAAATTACCTTGTTCTCAGTAAATTGTAGCATGTACTTGTGACAGCATTTTCAGCAAGTTTTGTTCTTGTTTTTGTTTTTGTTTTTGTTTTTGTTTTTGTTTTGAGACAGAGTCTCACTCTGTCGCCCAGGCTGGAGTACAGTGGCATGATCTTGGCTCACTGCAACCTCTGCCTCCCAGGTTCAAGCAGTTCTTCTGCCTTAGCCTTCCTCCCGAGTAACTGGGACTACAGGTGCGCACTACCACGCCCGGCTAATTTTTGTATTTTTAGTAAAGATGGGATTTCACTATATTGGCCAGGCTGGTCTCGAACTCCTGACCTTGTGATCTGCCAGCCTCAGCCTCCCAAAGTGCTGGGATTACAGGTATGAGCCACCACATCCGGCGAAGATTTTGCATAGTTCTAAATCCTCATTGCCTCTACCACTAACTTAGTGGGCCTTCAATGAGTCATTTGCTGAACAAACAACATTCCTCCTACTCAGGTCATCACTGAAGCGTACAGTGAAGGTTCATTTTTAGTGTCTTTGTAGTATTTACTGTCAGTATTTAAGACCTTATATTGTTATCTTTTTAACGTGTGTAGGTATAATATAACTGGTATACTGAAAGTTTATAAGGCAGTTGTTTAGAATTTAAGACACATTTTTCTATAGAAACTATTACAAATTATAGGTTAAATATTCTAGGAAACTAATCCTTATAATCCATACTGTTCCTCTAGCTCTGTAAACCAGACATCTTTCATCATTGTATTGATGTGAAAACTCATTTCATGTTCCAATTCTGGACTCCAGGAGCACATCATTCCACCAGAAGAGTGGCTAAGGCAGGGGAAGGAAGACCTACTTTCTGTTTTCCTGTTAATAGAATCCCGCAGAGATTAAGAGAGTCTAAAGGCAGGAAGGCAGGGAAAGAGGGTGCCAGACAAACCTAGAAATTGTGCAGGAAATGGAGATTGTGGGTTCGAGGTCTAGAAGCAACCTCTACACATAGGTTCCCAACTGGAGCGACTTTTTGAATTCAAAACCTGTCTCAAGCAGTCTCTCTAGCTGCTGCTTTTCCTTGCTTCCTGGCTATCTGGTTAGTAGTTGAAAAACTCTGTTTAGGATAAGTAGTAGATAACTAATCTGGATTCAAATAGGATCATGAATCAAAGTTGATTTTTTTTTTTTTTTTGAGAGACAGGGTCTCGCTCTATTGCCCAGGCTGGAGTGCAGTGGCACAATCATGGCTCACTGCAGCCTCAATCTCTTGGGCTCAAGTGATCCTCCCACCTTAGCTTCCTGAGTAACTGGGACTACAGGTGTGCAGCAGCACACCCGGCTTATTTTTATTTGTAGAGATGGCAGTCTTGATTTTCATCTGAGTTGGAATAATTTTAGAGCTTCCCATAAATTGTTGGCATGTGGCTGTCTTACTCAGATTTATTCATGGACTTTCATCATTCCTTGTAGCTGCACATCTAATGAGATTTTAACATAGGCATATATTTGTGCTTAGGCTTTTAGGATTTGATTAGTGGAGCGGATTCCTTTTGCTTTTCGTCTTAATTACCCTAGTGTTTATATGCTTTGGTTCTGAGTATTATTGATTTGTTTTTTTAGCGATGTGGTCTCTATTTTGCCTAGGCTGGCCCCTTGAACTCCTGGGCTCAAGCAATCCTCCTGCCTCAGGCTCCTGAGAAGCTAGGACTACAGGTGTGCATACCACTGTGCCTGTCTTGATTTGTTTTGCTATTAAAGTAATGATATCTCATTGCCCCTGCCCCACCCTCCAAATTGAAATTGGCTAGCTTGTGTCAGGCATCGAAACTTGAATAGCCTTCTAAACTGATATTAACTACTTTATGGATCTTTTAACCATTCTATAAAAGAAGCTCTACTTAAAATTAGAGGCTGGGCATGGTGGCTCACGCCTGTAATCCTAGCACTTTGGGAGGATCACTGGAGCTCAGGAGTTCAAGACCAGCCTGAACAACATAGTGAGACCCCATCTTTACAAAAAGAAAAATTTTTGATTAGCTGGGCATGGTGATATGCACCTGTAGTCCCAGCTACTTGCGAGGCTTTAGTAGGAGGGTCACTTGAGTCTGGGAGGTCGATGCCACAGTGAGCCATTATTGCGACACTGCACTCCAGCCTTAGTGGCAGAGTGAGACCTTGTCTCAAAAAAAAAAAAAGTTAATTAATTTAAAAAAAAACACCCAAATTAGATCTGCTTTCTTTAAATATTTAACATTTTGAATTAGAAGTTTTCTTTGCTTTTATCACATTATTTACATTAATATTATCTATAGACTGAGGAAACAGGCAAAGTAGAAAAAGACTTCCAAAAGTATGGTCACTATGAATGAAAGAATAATGTCTGGATAAATTAGTAGTATCTCTTTAATCTTATTAAAATAGTCTTCAAAGCATTAAATGCCAAGAAGGTTAAGGAAGAATTTCAAGGTTATAAAGACCAGCATTATTGAGCACACTGTTCCATTGTTTGGTGATGGCATCACTGGTTTCAGGGAATTTTTTTTTTTTTGAGACAGAGTCTCACTGTCGCCTAGGCTGGAGTGCAGTGGCGCAGTCTCGGCTCACTGCAGCCTCCACCTCCTGGCTTCAACCGATTCTCCTGTCTCAGGCTACAGAGTAGCTGGATTACAGCGCCCGCCACCACACCTGGCTAATTTTTTTGTATTTTTGGTAGAATGGGGTTTCGCCATGTTGGCCAAGCTGGTCTCGAACTCCTGACCTCAGGTGATCTGCCCACTTCGGCCTCCCAAAGTGCTGGGATTACAGGCATAAGCCACCATGCCCAGCCTGGTTTCAGGGATTATTAATGGTTGGAAACAGTTTTTTGCAAATTTCAGGTGCTTATAAGAATGAAAATACATAATGGTTGTTTGATTTTTGTGGGTCTGTGAATGCAAGCAGTGGCTAGCACATATGAAACAGCTGAATTTCTTCATGGGATGATGTAGAAAGCCATAGCATATTTGACTAGAATATAATGTTCACCACAACAAATAGTGCACAAAGGACTCTGATGGAAAAAATCCAAGTTACTGAATATAGTACAGTAAAACAGTGGTTACAGAGCCCCAGAGAGTAAGGCAGTCATGGTTTATCTCAGCTTGCTATGTACTATTTAGCTTGAGAAAATTAGCTCAAATCTCTATTCCTCAGCTTTCTCAACTGAGAATAAATATAACAATAGTACCTACTTCTTTTGTTCATTCAACAAGTACTTACTGAGTGCCTACTACGTGTCCCAGGCATCAAAGATACTGCAGTGGGGGCCGGGGGAGCAGACAAAACTCTGCCCTCATTGGCTTTCATGAGGGTGCTAGACAGTAAATAAGAATCAAGCATTGATTGAATATGTAGATATGTGTATTCAATGTATAGACCGCGATAAGTGCCAAAAAGAAAACAGAAAAGTAGTGGAAAGGGAATGTAAGGTGTTGAAATGGAGAATAAAATAGAAATATTCAATAGGGAATACCTCCCTGAGAAAGGTTACTGTGAGGAATGTATATGAATAATGCATGTAAAGCATTTAGCAGACTACCTGGCATATATAAGGACTCAATAATTAGCAGGCTGGGTGCAGTGGCTCACGCCTGTAATCCCATCACTTTTGGGAGTTTGAGGAGGGAGGCTCGCTTGACCTCAGGAGTTTGAGACCAGCCTGAGTCTGTAATTGTGCCAGCATTAGCAAATGACATGCAGTTGCCACTGTACTCCAGACTGGGCAACAGAGCAAGACCCTGTCTCAAAAAAAAAAAAAAAAAATAGCAGCTATTTATTATATATGTGATACTAAGGAAAAGGTAAGTCAGTTGACTTAACAGTAATCAAAGTAAGTTGAAGATTATGACTAATGAAAAAAGTATTCGTGTATGTGTGTGTGTATAAGCCCATATCCAGAGACTGGTTGATGTTTTTTATTCATTGCAAATGGAATCTCCTCAACTATGAACAATTTAATTTTCTGAACTACTTACCAAAGCTTGTACTGTTATATAATCAAATGTGTTTTGTGTTTGATTTTATTTTTATGTTTTACTTTACATTAAACATTAGCTGATCTCTTGTGCTGTTTGGGTTAATAGTCATAAATTAAATGACTCATAGCTATGTTGAATGACTTTTACATTTGAGGCCTTGTATTTGTTGTTAAAACCATGACTGATATACAGATTTAGGAAAATTAATTTGTATTCCACTTTCAACCTGTAAATCATGGATTACCTTCTAGGCTATTATTTTTATCCCTTTTTAAATTTTTTTTTTATTTTTTATTTTTTAAGAGACAGAGTCTTGTTCGGTTGCCCAGGCTGGAGTACAGTGGCATGATCATGGCTCACTGTAACTTTGAACTCTTGAGCTCACACAATCCTCCAGCTTCTTGAGTAGTTGGGACTATAAATGTGCACCACCATGCCTGGCCAATTTTTAAATTTTTTTTTAGAGACAAGATCTGGCTATATTGCCTAGGCTGATCTTGAACTCCTGGCTTTAAGCAATCCTCCCACCTCAGTGTCCCAGTCTGCTGGGATTACAGGCTTGGGCCACAGCACCCAGCCCATATCTATCCTTTGTGTATCTGGATCATCAAGACTTAGATGTCTGAGTACTTAGATAAAAGGACCATGAACTTAAAGCTGAAGATCTTTTGTTGCTTGTATAGAATGGAACGCATTGAGAACTAGGTATTACTTAGAATATGGTAAATGATGGTTTACTGCTTTGTGTCTTTCAGTGTGTTGGCATGCATCAGCCCAGAAGCAGTGATCTCTGGATTAAACTGCATGTCATTTGCTAATGTTGGCATGAGTGGCTTAAGCCCCAATGGTGTGGATTTGAGCATGGAGGCAAATGCTATAGCTCTGAAATATTTAAATGAAAATCAGCTGTCACAACTGTCTGTCACTCGATCAAACCAAAATAATTGTGACCCATTCAGCCTTCTCCATATTAATACAGACAGAAGCACAGTAGGGCTTAGTTTAATTTCACCAAACAACATGTCATTTGCAACCAAAAAATATATGAAGAGATATGGACTCCTACAAAGCAGTGACAATAGTGAAGATGAAGAGGAGCCTCCCGACAATGCAGATAGCAAGAGTGAACATTTATTGAATCAGAACTATACGTCCATACCTGAACAGCTTGGTGGTCAGAAAGAGCCTTCTAAGAATGACCATGAAATAATTAATTGTTCTAACTGTGAATCTGTGGGCACCAACACAGATATGCCAGTATTAAGAAATATTACAAATGAAGTTTTGCAGACAAAAGCAAAACAGCAGTTGACTGAAAAGCCAGCTTTCTTATTAAAGAACCTTAAACCAAGTCCTGCAGTGAACCTTCGAACCGGGAAAGCAGAGTTCACTCAACATCTTGAGAAAGAAAATGAAAGGGACATTGCAATTTTTCCTGAAAGTCTGCAACCTTCTGAAACTCTAAAGCAGATGAATAGCATGAATTCAGTAGGCACCTTCTTAGATGTAAAACATCTCAGACAGTTACCAAAATTATTTTAACCTTTTAACTCCCTGCTCTTTTAATACAGGGACAGGGTGTCTCCTGAAGATACTTAGGGAAGCCAGAGAGCCTTGTGGTAGTTTTGGGATTTCCTGATCATTCTGGAGTCAGTCTGTTTCTTGGTAGCAGCCAACTGGGAAGAGTGACTTTTTCTTGAGATGGCTGACTAGTGATAGGACTAAGTTCTCATTGTTCAAATAGAGTTGTTCAACATCACTGAAACCTTTAAGAAAAACAAACCCTGAGATCAGTTATTCCTACAAATTTAAGTAGATAAATACTATCCAGCTCTGAGTCTCAACTGCTCTTTTATACTGTACTTTTTTTACTTTTTTTTTTGTTAATAAAACATACTCATACTCAATAATTTTCTTAATTCTTTGATAGCCAGCGTGACATGTTGAAGATGTTACACTAAAACCAACCCACCAACACTGCAAAAAGTTGTATCTCCAGAGTTTACTAACATGCATCCTAATTAAGAGGAAATACTCTTGTATAAAAAGTGTTATTTTTATTATTTTCAAAAATAACGTTTTCCCTTAAACTCAGAAAGGGCTGATTTCGCTAATTTACCCAATACCATGATAACTTATGTTCTTGTACGTGATATGGGATAAATGCAGAGATGAAACATGCTAGAACTTCTTAAAATGTACAGTATAGCTGGGTGGCAGTAGCTCATACCTGTAATCCCAGCAACTCTGGGAGGCCCGAGGCGGGCGGATCACCTGAGGTCGGGAGTTGAGACCTGCCTGACCAACATGGAGAAAAATCGTCTCTACTAAAAATACAAATTAGCCCAGGCGTTGTGGCACATGCCTGTAATCCCAGCTACTTGGGAGGCTGAGGCAGGAAAATCACTTGAACCTAGGAGGCAGAGTTGCGTGAGCCGAGATCGTGCCACTTGCACTCCAACCTGGGCTACAAGAGCAAAACTCCATCTCAAAAAAAAAAAAAAAAAAAG